TAAAATAGCTGAAGTTACAGAAAAAGCACTGTGTAATTTTGATATATGTGAAAAATTGTGCACACCATCATTCCAATGTGGTAGCATTTAAGGTTGTAACACAGCCAAACCACTTTATGGTATATAGTGTATTATTCTCTGCTTGAGTATGGCAAAAAAAAATAAAAAATAAATAAATCTGAATAAAAATCTGCACAAAAATTTTTTCCACAGGAGACAAGAATTTTTAGAGTTGGAAATTAAAATCTCTAAGAAGCCCTAAGATGAGAATTAGCTATATAAACAGCAGATTATAAAGATTACTATACTTTATAATAGAAGGCTGCAAATGTAGAAAAATATTTGTGTGCTTCTATCAAACTTCACATTAAATCCACTCTTTTAAGAGCCTGAAAGCCAAACAGTGAAGTGTGTGTTCACAGTGCTTTTCAGGACTGGTATGTAAGCTTCTCTTTGACAGCACTGACAGAGCATCAGCTGCAGCTGACATGTTTTGAAAAGCCCAAATTGCCTTATCCACTAAGAAGGTATTTGTTGACACAACACTGAAAACCTGGAGTGGGTGTCGGTGATTGACGCATGACCGCCACAGCTGCCCAACTACATAGCTGGACATTTATCCTAATTCTTAAATCCGCACACATATGCACACACACACTGACATAATTAGGGCAGAGCAGCTAAAGTAGCTAACAATGATACACCCCCATGGTCTGAGATTTGTGCTGAACAACAAAACACTAAAGCTCCCACTCCTCCCCTCATTAGAGACTCTCAATCTCAAACATCAAAGTAAACTTGTGTCTATAAAATATACTCTATGTATAGATGTAACTGTGTGTGTGTAGGTTTGTGGTGAGGTGCATATTCGTGTGTTCCTGTTCATGAAAGACTCGATGTAAGTTTTACATCATGTGAGTGAGCACATTTTTGTAAACTGAGGACATTTTTGGCTGGTCCTCACATCTTCAAAGGGCTGTGTGAGAGCCAGGGTTTAGCGTTGTGATTAAATAACTTTAATGGGCTCGTTACACAAATGTAAAAACTGGGAACAAAGTAGGGGGGTTGTGCGAGTAAAAACCTCCCCTATGTGCTGGAACTTTTGTCTTCACATTCTAAGCAGAAATAATGACGCTAATAGTGTCTATCTATCTATCTATCTATCTATCTATCTATCTATCTATCTATCTATCTATCTATCTATCTATCTATCTATCTATCTATCTATCATCTATCTATCTATCTATCTATCTATCTATCTATCTATCTATCTATCTATCTATCTATCTATCTATCTATCTATCTATCTATCTATCTATCTATCTATCTATCTGTCATCTATCTATCCATCTATCTATCTATCTATCTATCTATCTATCTATCTATCTATCTATCTATCTATCTATCTATCTATCTATCTATCTATCCATCCATCCATCCATCCATCCATCCATCCATCCATCCATCCATCCATCCATCCATCCATCCATCCATCCAAGTTCGGAGAGAAAGAGCAACAATCTGTCAAGGAAAGATGAAAAGCGGTCTTAGCTAATCAGAGCACTTAATCAAAGCATGTGATCAGGCAAGATTCAGATGATAAAATCAATTATATAATTTAATAACTAAACAGAGCACTGGTATGAGTAAGGTGAAGCAAATTAAATGTAAACACCCCCTAGGGACTGGCTGAAGTATAACCTTTAGGCTCCACCCCCTTTATTGTAAAAAGCTACAGAGACTTTATCTAGATATTAGCCTTGTGTTGTTCTCAGTCTGTCTTGTACATTTATCAGTGATTAGCTGTAACTGTGTTTAGGTAAGTGGGCTCTGTTTCCAACACTAAAACAGCAGATCCTGTAAAAATACTTCATTTAGCTTTTATGACAGAAAATGATGGAGATGTGGCGTCCATCTTTTTTTATATTGATGGCTGAAACAGCAGAGAGGACCTGCAGCTGATCACTGGACTCCGTGTGGTTGTTTAGCTCAGCAACAGAAGCATAACAAGCATGAGATTCAAGTTTGAGTCCAAGTTAAAAGGGTATTTACTTTCCGTCCCAAGCTAAAACTATCTGATGTCTGCAACTAGAAAGAGATGAAATTCAACGCAAATTTAACCTAGCCAACATTCAGGCCCAATGAGAAGTTTTGTTTTAGGACATTTAAATGTCATCTTAACTTTCCATAAACAATAGGTTAAAATTAGGTTTAAACTGGACTTGAAAATAAAAGCTTCAGAAACGTCTAGTTTTAAACGATGTCTCCATTTAGCTGGAGTAAGAGTAAAGAAGTAGCCCAAGCATGTGGGATTTGAAGTTAAACTCTTAACTCCAAGCACTCCTCTCATTTCTCTGAGCCCATCAGCCACGCTGATGAATCACCTGCTTAACCACTTCAAGACAAAATCTGGGACCAAAGAGACGGATCATAATTACCAAAAACATGGCTGACCCCTGCACCTTCTGCTGGGCAAAAATTCTGGCAGTTGAGACGGTTTTGTGAACGAACCCTGCGCTAAGTCATACGCGGAAGAACAACCAATTCATGCTTCGTGGCAAAGGCAAATCACTTGGTTTAAAACCACATGGCATCGAAGAGGGCCAGTTTTTCAGCGGCAAATGTAACCAGATAGTTGAACTTTGACACCATAGTCATGCTAGGAAAGGAAAGTAAAGAAATATATTTGTTGTAATAACTCTTTTTATGATAGAAGTTGAGCCCACAAATTCAGTTAGGGTTATGATTCGAAAGTGCATTACTAAGAAAGCACACATCAGTGTGAGTGAATCCATCCTTTGTCCGAGAGAACGTGTCACTGCCTATTACAGTGAGTGTGTCTGAGAGAGAGGGAGAGAGAGGGAGGGAGGGAGGGAGGGAGGGAGGGAGGGAGAGAGAGAGAGAGAGAGAGAGAGAGAGAGAGAGAGAGAGAGAGAGAGAGAGAGAGAGAGAGAGAGAGGCCTTGCTTTCCTCATCCCTCTGGCTGTGTCCAGTACCTCTCTGAATTACTTGGCGAGGTGCTAATTGACACGGAGCCTCCACCTCATCATGTTTTGTCAGAACACGAAGGTTGGGCTGCCGAATCAACAAATCTTTGAGCTCCAGATTCTGCCATATGTCCAGCCATGTGTTCACCCGTACCAGCTGGGAGCACTCAGCACTCTGCCCGTCTAACTCACTGACTGGGCCGCTCTGAGGACCGAGGGCTTTAATGAGCCAGGGATGGTGAAATGCTACCGCTGAGCTAGCCCTTTGTTTTGACTCGTCGCTGATTCGGTCACATCTACTCGTTTAATCTCGCTGGTGTGACAAATATTAATGATCTTTGGATAAAATCATCAAAAGGCATGTGCTTTGTAGAGGATATAGAGACACTTTGGCTTATAAGGCTTTGAGTGTTTTCCTCCTGAGTGGAGGAGGGTCTAAGTGATTGGTGCCATTAAAAGAGCAACGCTGGTTTCAAGGCTGACTGTCACCAGTCATCAGCTACAGGAGACACTGAATATATTCATAAAGCTTTAAATAAATGTTCAAGCCGCAAAACTTCTTAGAGGAAGAGCAGATTTTTTAAACTATTCTAACTGATCAATAGGTGGCATCTGCAGGGATGGTGATAATTTGGTGTTTTGTGTTGGAGATGAAGCTAAGATTTTGATTTTCTGACTGATTTGTGTTCCAACCCCCACCTTTGGTCATGAGCTTGGGCAATGACCAAAAGAAGACCATGAATACAGGTCACTGCCCTTAGTTTCCTCTACAGGTTGGCCAGACCCAGTCTAAAGCTCGGTTCAAACTGTGTTAAAATGTGTTTAGACCATTATAAACAAATGTTCTGTCACGAATAAAGGCATAATGAAAAACGGTACACGGGAGGGTGATTAGCAGGTCTGCGCCGTCCAGTGTAAGGGTCCACTGACAGCTTTTTGAGCTCTCTCACAACTAAATCCTTGTGAAGTTTGACATACTTATACGTGGAATATGGAATACGGACACCATAGCGACATCTAGTGTGCGGAGGTTGTATTTGCAACAATAGAACAAGGTTTCCAGGCATGGGGATACCAGGTTCACTGCCGATACGTGCCATTTGTTAAATTTTTTATTTGGGTCCAAAATCCTTTGTGGGCTTCACCTAAACTCACTCTGGTTTCAGATCTTTTATGGTTGCTCCTCTTCTGAGAAGGATAACGACATCTTCTGGGCTCAGAAGCAGAGGCTTAACTTGTCAAGTCCGCAATTTTCCACATGGCCAGCCTTACTGTGCTGCATAGACTGTTTACCGTATTTGGCAACCCACAACGGTGCCCTCTAATGGCAGGAAGATGTAAACGTAAACCCAGTGTCATGCCTGTCAAAATAAAGATTTGACTCTTTTTTAATGAAAATATTGCTTTTAAAAGGAATACTGTACCTTTATTCTGCACACCTCTAAACACCCTGTGGAAGTATTATTTTTTAAACATACAGATTTTAAACAATTGTTCCATATTCAACCTTTAAATCTTCAGTTGAGTAGTGTTCCACCAATCTAAAGCTTGCATTCTGTGACGTGTCCTGCAGTCCGTTGCAATGGCCAAAAAAAAAAGTCTCGATGAGTTTGGACATCCGAAAGGAAGAGTCGCTATTCTTTAAAAAACAAGTGGAGCCAGCTGAGGTGCTTCAGGCACATGTACAGGAGAAGACTTGAAGGCTGCATCTCAATGCTGGCCTGGGAACAGCATGGGAACCAAGATGACTAGGGAGAGGACAGTTTGGGCTTTCTTTGTCTGCCTTTTTCCTGGGATGAGTCATGGGCCAGAGTTCATACTTGTGCACACACATAAGCATTATTTGAGTTTTCAAGCTAACCCATTTTACCAGCTCTACCTTAATGGACAAATGTCTGTAAATCCAGCACAAGCAAACTGTGCTTTCTCACTTTATTGAAAAAAATAAAAAAAATGCATCATTGACCACAGTTTATACAAACCTGGATGGTTATAGGAAAATGGCTGTCTTACCTGGTTTGGCGTCCGAAACTCTTGGTTACTGTCATTCATGTACATGTTGTCAGCATCAAACTGTGAACAGAAACAGGAAGGATGAATAAACTTAGTATGCAAAAAAAAGAGAGATTTAAAGGGAGGCGGTGCTTGGGGAGGTGGTACAAAGAGGAAAAGCTCTTTACGGGTGGCCTCAAGTGTGAGACTAATGACTTTGTCACTTTGGTTAAACCTCATGGTGGCATGGCAGCATGGGCAATTACTGTTCGTCAGCGGGCCGGTAATTAGGCTACATGAGCAGAGTGACGAGAGATGGGCTTTTCCCTGTGGGCTCTGCTGCTCGTGTGAGAAAGAGAATGAGTGTGAATGAATCTGTGAGTGCATGCAGTGGTGAAGTGTGTGCTTGCTGTGTTGGAGGGGTGTGTTTCCAGTGTGTGTGGTGTATAGCGAAGGCGTGCTGTGTCTTCTGACGTGAGCTAATCAGGCAGTGAAAGATCACTTGCTGCAGGTGCCAAAACACTCCTTGACGTGGGGTGAGAGCTCACGGTACAACAAATGACTCTTGACCCAAGAGGGTGCTGGGAAACAGCTCGGGATCAACAGATGACTGCAGCATGCCAGCAGGGCCGTCTGAGCTAAACCACTAAAACATTCCCCAGTGGTCCCAGTTAAGGGGCTGATGTTAAAGAAAGGATAACACACAGAACTATTTTAGGACAATTCCTCACTGGGCATCCACAGCATCAACAAGAGAAGCTCTCGTGCAAAATGCCAATCTGAGCCTGGAAAATTTACCCGTTTCATTAAATTCTCATTGTCAAAGATTTAAAATTTATAAATGAACTTTTGCACAATATTTTAATTTTTCAAGTTTCACCTGGAAGTTGAAACAAAATAACAACAACAACAAAATCTCCAGTATTTTTGCAAAATTTTGATTCTTTTCCACCAACAAATCCACCGGTATGTGTATGGAAGGTGCAAACACAGCAGAAAATCTGTTTTAATTTTTTTATTTCCAGAGTAAGGATGTGCTATCCATTTCCATTTGACTCCAAAGCTTCCAAAAGCAAACAAAACAAATCCGGAACAGCAAAGCCGATACAACTACTTGGAGTCTTCCTTATAACATCAAGGTGTTAAAACAATTCAGAAATTGGCAGCAGAAGGAACTCAAACTAGACACGATTCCATGTGAAATTCCTAAGATTAAAAGATACGTATGGACTTTTTATTTGGGGTGGTCGACTTTCTTCTATGGAGACTAAAAACTCTTAAGATAAACAAACCCAGGATAGAAGAGAGAAGAAATACCTCAAAACAATGACCAAATACCTAATGCACGGAAATGAGCTGAATTCCTTTGGGGCTGAAATCTAATATCTACACTGGTAGACAGGAGAAAGCCCGAGTCTGTAAATGAGCATGTGAGCGGCGAGAAAGAGAAATGACTGTATATTATTGCACATGAAAGGTTGGGGGAATGAGCGTCTGCCTCAGGGCGACGGTTGGTTAACGATGCATACGGTGGAAGCGCTTGAGGAACCGCATGAACGTTTTATTGATTACATTTACATTCATCCCCATACGCAAACACATAACTGAGACAAGAGCTGTCTATTTGTTGCATTTAGGCTCTATTCATGTGATTAACCCAAAAGCTGCAGGTGAACGCTACGTGATTGCTTCACAAGAGACAAAATGCTGACTAATTGTTTTGCGGTGCAAGCTGCAGATAATGATGTAATTAGTTTAACCAGGCATGGGAGTGGCTGTCACCTGACCAACCTGAGGTCAGACATGAGATGTTGACCGTAGTGACATCAACATAGACTATCTTGTTCTTGTCAAAATAAGACGAGTTTCACATGATGGGCGACGGTGACACAGGAGTTAAGCGCTCGCCCCGTAATCGGAAGGTTGCAGGTTCGAGCCCCGCTCAGTCTGTCGCTGTCGTTGTGTCCTTGGGCAAGACACTTAACCCACGTTGCCTGCTGGTGGTGGTCGGAGGGACCGGTGGCGCCAGTGCTCGGCAGCCTCGCCTCTGTCAGTGCGCCCCGGGGCAGCTGTGGCTACATCGTAGCTCATCACCATCAGTGTGTGAATGGGTGAATGACTGGTTGTGTTGTAAAGCACCTTGAGGGGTTCCATGACCCTAGAAGGCGCAATATCAAATACAGGCCATTTAAATTCAGGCCATGAATGGCGCATTCTACAGTAGCTAAAAATAGATCATGATGTAATGTCACAATGCATCATGGGATGTAGCTCTAGACCAGCAAGTGTGTATTTTGCATGGGTGCTTATGTGTCTGAGGGGTTTGAATGACAGCAACTGGACTTTCGCTTCTCACCCGAGGAGCTCTGACAGTTCTGACTGGATTATGGGAGAGTCAAGCTTATAAACTGTAACTGGTTATTGTTGCTTAACGAGCAGAAACCACATATGAATATCCCCCCTCTTTACCCTAATCAGTCATTGGAAGAAGAAGAAGAAGAAAGTATCATTTCTATAGCGCCTCTCAAGATAAAAATCACGAGGCGCTTCACAAAAGCAAAAAATGTAAACATATAAAAAATAATTTAGAAAATGTTTAAAAATATATTTAAAATGAGCAAAAATAGGCAATTGTGATTAAAAATTGTTAAGAAAGAGAGAGAGAGAGTGAATAGGAAAGAGGGAAATCAGTGGATCCTGAGAAAGGTGGAATAGGTGGGGAGAGCAGAATAAAGAGAGAGTGGTGAAGAAGGTCATACAAATGCCAGCTTGAACAAGTGAGTCTTCAGCTGCTTTTTAAAGGAGACCACTGAGTCCACTGATCTCAGGCTCAGGGGGAGAGAGTTCCAGAGTCTGGGAGCCACAGCAGCAGATGATCTGTCACCTTTGGTCTTTAGCCTGGTGCTGCAACACCAGTAGGCTTTGATCACTGGACCTCAGGGACCTGCTGGGGGTGTAGGGACTAAGAAGATCACCAATGTAAGATGGTGCTTGTCCAATTTAAGGCCCTATAGACCAGAACCAGGATCTTGAAATGAACCCTGAAGTTGACTGGCTTAGCTTCTATTGTGTGGGAGTCGTTGTATTGGTTATATACAGGAGGGTGTGACCCTCCCATATTCCAGTCAGAATTGACAAAGCTCCTTGGATGAGAGGTGAGATGTCTTCAAAAAAAAAAAAATCCAGTTGCTGTCATTCGAACTATTTTGGATTACCATGACCTGGATGACTGAGGACCTTCACAATCATATGCGTCTGAGTCACTCTGCTCGTCTCAAAGTTGTATTTTTGTCTCCTAAAGATGTTCAGACAGGAAGGAACAAAGCACCACTGTTGTGGGAGGAGCTAATCGGACTCTTAAAAACCAAATCAGACGTTGGAGCGGACATTTTTAATCCGTTTTCCAAAGCTGGGTAAGGTCCGCGACAATATAAAACAGCTAGATGGGGAAATCCGTCAAGCTAAAAACAGACAAAGCAAAGTGGTGGCAGTATTTATGTGTAAGAGCAGATTTTCACAGTGTGGAGCAGATCTGTGCTTATTTTTGTTCCATCACGTTTTGCCAGAGGGACAGGTCCTAGATCCGAGAATGACAAGCCGATACTAGCAACGCCCTCAGATAAGAAGTTATCTAGGAGGCAGCGGTGAAAACATAGCTGTCCAGCTGAATGTCTTGACCCAAAAAATGTTCGAACGTGGACAAAAAAGGCTTTTGACCAGAGGTGAGTGGTACGTAAAAATTGGTAGCACAAGTAATAATCTAATAAAAAAACGAACCTAGAGAAAATGTCCGTGGTTTTTCAATTAGCAAATGCGGCTTGTTTGTGTAGCACTAGCACCCAGCAGCGCTTGTGTGGCGACGTCAACTGTTGAATGCGCTAATTCTTAGTTGAAAATGTTTTTAACCCAACAGAACCACGAGATCGTTCACCTAATTTTGCTACCTTAGTTGTTTGAGTTCCACGCCCCGCTGCCGTTTCTGCCCACTCCAAAGGAAGAGATTACTTTATCCACATATCTGTAATGAGATGATGATCAGAAAGGCCAAAACACGGCCCAGAAAGGTCAGCCATTTTGTGCTTCAACATGGCTGCTTGTATATTGTGACGTAAAGCATTTTCCCTCTTGCTCCTGTCTCAATCGCTCTGCTTTGCACTTTCTCACTCTTCCGTTTAAAATGCCAATTTAGCGCTGGCTCAGTGCTATCAGCTCAGCCATAACTCCACATAAAATGCAGCAATCCTTTTTTTTTCTCTTCTTCTTTTCCATTTTCTCTCTTTTATCACCCTCTCTTCTCTTCATCTCTCTTTTTAATGCATCTCCTCTATACTCCTTCACTTTTACTCATCATCCTCATGTTCTCATCACCTTTCTCCACATTGCAACCTTCCCTGCTTCACTCCTCTGTCACACTCCCAACTCCTCTTTTCCTTCGCTTGTCTCTTACATTTCAGCAGGCCCTGGCATCGCTTCCTCATCGGCAGCTTAATTGGGCATTCTGCCTGAGACAAGGGCCTCATTAAGCAGTAATTACACACATGTTGTTTTCGGCAAACATCTCTATTTGGATTGCTTTGCATGGTAATTGTTCAGCAGGGACCACTGCTTGCGATGTTTCAATCCGTGACACACGTGGTGCTGGTTGGGAGGAATAAAACAGTGGAAAGGAAGGGTAGAAAAGCGAGGGGAGGAGAGGAAGAACAGAGGAAAATAATAATAGGTTGTGAAAGAGAGACAAAGTGAGAAATAAAGAATGCACACACGAGAGGGGAAGACGATGAGTGTAACACAGAGGCAGGAAGAAAGTGATAGAACGAAGACAATGAATACATGTGAGGAACAAGATTTAGAAAGGAAGAGGGAGAGAGACATGAGGACGAGAAAATGAGAGAGGAAAGTCAGGAAAAAGAAGAAGAAAAAAAAGACTCCCAGAACTAGGTCATGCCTCGCAATCATCGACAAAGCTGAGCGTTTCAAAAATAATGAAGCCACAAGGTGGAAGTAATGCTAACTAGCATATCCAGGGAAAACATGTACTATTTACACCCTTCTAATGGCGCAATACAATTTTGGGATGTTTT